TGGGTTTCTTTTGAAGAAAGTGCTTAAACTGTCACATATGAGAATAGCCCGCAGTTTTCAATTCACCAACCCAATATTTAACACTGACTTAACAGTGAGGAAATGAATAAATTTAAACAATATGTAACAAGATTGAGGGAGGCGAAACAACAATTGAGCGAAATTAGTACTTTTCCGTAGTTTCTCACTTTGAAACCACTTTTGGGCGTAAATTTGTAAACTTGAATGTAAATCGCAGCGTCGGTGCTAAAGATTTGAGAATAGAGTGTGTTACAAGTATTTTCCAGTGACCATCTTCTCAAATTGCCTCTCGACGTCGGCTTCAACCAGCTCGCAAATGGTCACTTCAACAACGACGAGCTCATCTACAATTTCATCAACATCATCTGGCTCAATGAGTCCAGCAACAGCAACTGCTATGCCTTCCACTGTCACAATATCTGGCTCAACTGGTTCAACATCGGAAACAGCGCCTTCGACAACTTCTACAACCACAACAACTGCAATACAAACCCAAACGAACTCAATGACAACACCCGTTCAAACCAGCTCAATGGCGACTTCTTCAACGAAGATTACAACAACGACAATATCTTCAGAAACCCCGACAAGTCAACCTTCAACAACCACACAATGTCAATCAAAAGTGATCAACGCGGATATTGTTGTTGCATTGGAGATCAATCAACCGCAAGCGCAATCAGATGTAAGTGTGACTGTAGAAGTGAAATGAAAAGACGGTTTAAGGCTTAATTGGCCAAGATTGGGTAGACTTTGATAGTGATTTGAGCAAAATATGAAGTAACTAACCCAAAAGTTATTGGTACACTACTGGACAATGAAATATGATATTTGAAAAAAGATCGTCACTTTCGCGCGTCTGTAACTCCCGTGTCTTTGCGTTTAAACTATTGGTGTTATATATTTTCTGAAAGCTCTTTTCAAGGGCTACACAATGGTAATATTAATATTTAGAAATACGGTAAAGACAGGGGAGTTACAGACGCGATGATTTACAGATGATATTTCATTGTCCAGTAGTGTAACTCAGAGTTTTACTGACAAGGGAATGTCAACTGGGTGTGGTGGCTAAATAACATGTGCCACGGGTTATTCGACGCAGAATTCAATCTGCCGAAAATAACTTTTGACAGAGTTCTCTACAGCAGAAACGGAAAGCAGATTCGGAATCAGCGTAAAATTCTGCGTCAAATGGTCTGTGGCCCATGTCATTTGGCCACCACATCCAGTTGAAATTTCTTTGTAAATAAAGTAGTTGACAGTTAGCTTTGTAAAGCTCAAAAATAGATTCTCCTCGAATTTGTGACCCTTCAACTTTTCAACTCCACCGGAAACGCGTATCAATTTGGCAAAGCGACACGAGTTTCAGCTGTATTTTTGTAAGAACATCCTCAAAAATGAGTTCTTAGGTGGTTTATCCAAGCCTAAATCGCACGTCAGCTCTCGATGAAAATGCAAATTTTGCCAGTTTATTAGATCAACTATCGGCGATCAATGCATCAGTTTGGACTCAGCCGGCCAGAAGTTCTGATCTTGTTAGGTATATTTAAATCGTTTTTAAATTTTTCAAAAAACTTATATTTATCCTTTTAGTCAATAGCTTGTAAACGTCAGAATGTTTTCAGTGCCCTCGAATTTGCGAACCTAACCTTTACGGACAACACCCGCAACAAAGTGCTCATCGTGATCGGGAAAGAGTGAGTTTGGTGAAAATCTACTATATATAAAGGGACGTCTGTCCGTCTGTCTGTCCGTCTATCTGCCCGTCTGTCTGTCCGTCTGTCTGTCTGTCCGTCTGTCTGTCTGTGTGCGCTACTGCTCAGCCCCCAGGGGATCGTTTGCAATGATTTTTGCGCCGTTGAATAGGGAATTATATGTAGTTATGCAGCGTGGTTTTGGATTTTCTAAAAAGCACAATTCGAGTCGCACGGAGAGGTCGAACCTGGATCGTATGGACGATAGACCGGCGCGCTATTCACTGCGTCACTGTCGACAAAAGCCGTCCATCCCCAAAACGTCCAGGAAAAGCTCTCGGCTGGTTTAAAAATAAAGTCTTACAATGTTCTTACAATTTGTACAACAGGTTTTTATAGGTCTGTTTGAGTTTTTATAATAAAACTTGAGTCTTGTCCGTTATCCAGGATTTTTGAATGAGTGGCCGCGCTTTGAAGATTCATAACTTTGTCTACGAATAATATTATTGTTAATTTTTTATGTAGTTTTAAAGAGAACACTTCAGGCTTTCGATTAATATAAAATAGAGCTTGATTAGACGACAAAATTCTGAAGAAATCTTTGGGAAAGTCATTCTCAAAGTCAAGGCAAAATCCCTATGTAAATGACTGACGAAGTGTTCTTTGTGCGCGCACACAATCGCTCTCCATCTGGCATACCCCTCTGGTATAAGAAGCTTCCCTTTTTCAATCCTTAAAAGGGAAGGTTTTGACTGAGCCAGTTTCGTCGTTTTGGGCGTTACCGTGCCCAAATTTTTGGGGACAATTTTTGCCTTAAATCAGGCGATATTTTCTGCTACAAAAGCAAGATCCCGTTTAGCTTTATCACGGTAAACGATGCAAAAGGAATAGCCGATTCTCTGAAGAGCGCGCAAGCGATCACAATGATCACCGTTTCCTATATGATGAATGGCCTGCAACCCCTTGCCTCACCCCGACTCGATTTCGAATTAGACACCCTCTTTGCGCTCATGATCCCACAAGAGATCAATGATGCACTCGGTGAGCATATATTTCTAGAAAATCTTCCTTTACTACATAAAACAACAGATCCAGTAATAGAAAAATAATCCTCTGAAAAAATTTTCAGTGTCACTCTTCGGCGTTTGTGCTCAAAGCACAACAACCGGGCCAACTACTACAACGACAACTGCAACAACTGCGAGTGCCACAGCTTCAGTTTCATCAACAACAACAACAACAACAACAACAACACCTACGTTTTCTTCAAGTACAACTTCTATCACCAATACAGCATCCTCACCCCCATCAACCACTAGGTTAAATTCATCAACGTCTACAACTGTGAGTTTTTCGAGCAAATTAGGTATTAAGTAAGTTTTAGTTTTCGGACTCGACAACCACAACAACACCGCAACCGACTTTAAGGTAAAATATTATAAATGCTAATGCTAGAGCAAGTAATTTAAGGCGTCTAGGTCAAGTGTAAAACAAAATATCTATGAGAGAACTTCATCTTTAGCTATTCTTCATCGGAAGGCTCAACAGCTGAGAATACAGCTACAGTAACACCATCAACAACGGTAATTACTGTAACCACTTCACCGACCACCACAACTCCAATCCAACGAAGTATAGCCATCGTTTGGGATGTGTCGTTTAATGGAGGGAATAACAGAACGGAAGAGGTGAATATCAACTGAAATCAGTGTTAGACTCAATCAATCACCTCTTTTCAGGCAATTTTCACTTTTGTGAACGCGTTCTTGTTGAGGAATTCTTGGTGGACCGGATTGTCTTATTCGGTTATTCCATTCCCCGATACACTCAAATACCAATCACAAAATATTGACACTCAATTTAAGTGAGTTTGAAAAGAAAAATTTACACTATCCTAGTAAAGCCTTTATTTGGCTCTACTAAATTTCGGAAATTTCGTTTCGGGAAACGTTCCTTTCGGAAAAAATCATTTAGAAAATCAGTTCTAGCATTAATGGTAGCACAAGTTACTACAATAGCTTGCAACTTTAAGGCAAGGTTACGTCGATCTGGAGTGGTCGGGTTGAGACTAGGAGCTCGTGCACAATTTCCGAGTTTCGAGCATTGTTTCGAGCCGAGTTAAGCATTTGAAAACTCAGTAACAAGGGAATATTGCTAACTTATCGCGGCTTTTGACTCAGGAAATAGCCTATCTGATGTAGTTTTTCATGATGATTCCGAATCTGAAATCAGTTTTTGCCAAACGCTTCTCTATCGCGAGATATTTGGCCTACAATTTTTTGGGGCCTCTTTATGAGGGCGACGCACTGTCTTCAGTCAGTGGTGTAGTGGTTAGTGCGCACGTCTACCCTTTTAGATCCCGGAATTGGGAGATTAGCAGCAAAATTTGGGACCCAAAACAATGAACTCAATCGTGACGAACAGAAACTACTAGGAATCATTTCTGACGTTTTGCAAAATGCAGAAACAAATTCACGTTTATTGGAAGAAGATACCTACGATGAGTATTCAGAAGACAATGATCCAAATTGAGAACCACATTTACAGTTAGATAACGCCGAAGATTTTCAAGAACATTCATACGTCAACTTCTCTGATACTCAGTTTCCAATAAACAAAGTCAAGGAATGTCTTGAATCCTATCGTTCATCTCAACAAGACACTCGTTCATTAACTTGCATGACATCAAACTTTCGGTTTATCAAAAGTAACAACCAAGAAAACCACGCAAAAAAGCGGCGTACAACGCGGACAAAAACACTGTCGAAATTCCCGAAATGAAGGTTTAACGAAACGACATTCCCAAAATTTAGTAAAGCCCTTTATTTGAATCAATCGTCCTTTAGATCCTCAGCTCGTGATGTGGCAAGCTTGATGAGTCGAGAAAGGGGAGCACCTCCACCACCGAATAATGTATCCGATATTAATAGGTAATTTGAACTTTGAACAAGAACTATCCAATCTTTATTCTCTCTACTCATTTAGCGCTCTTGTCCTTCTCGAATATCAACCAACCGTCATTCGACCCACGATTTTACTCTTCTCAAGCAGTGATTCCCTAGTTTCAGATGCTCAATCAACAGCTGCAATTTTGAGAAATACATATGGATATGATATATTTGCAGGTTGAATTTTTTAAGTAACTACCATACTCTGCTTTTAGTCGGAGTCGGCTCTCAACTCGATTTTGGATCAATTCCCTCAAGTCCCTCAAATGTTTTCACAATGGATTCCCATTTGGATCCAAATACTTATCCATCCTTGGTCGACCAGATAACTGATGCGATGAATCGAGTGGATACAACCACAACCACAGTAACAACACCCACGCCTACAACTGTTTGTCCACCTGGTATTTTGTGACCACTTTCCATTATGCATAGCTATTCAGGAACTCCAATCCAGCGAAGTGTGGCTATTGTTTGGGATGTTTCTTTCAATGGGAATAACAATCGAACTGAAGAGGTTTGCTTACAATCAAAGAAAATCTTGAGTACGAGAAAGCTAACTCTATGTTCGATCATCACTTAATTCCAGGCTATTTTCACCTTTATCAACTCATTCCTTTTACGGTCAAACCCTGAATGGACAAATGTCGTTTTCTCTGTCATTCCATTCCCCGATCCTCTTGCCTATGCAACAACAAATATCGATTATGCGTTCAAGTAGGTGATTTGTAACAAGTAATCCCTTACAAAGTAAGCCAAACCATATATAGATACTTTATTCAAGAAATGTTGTAAAGTGAGGAAGTTTTTTCAAGACCCAGAGGTAGTAACACCTTAAAAAACATAGAAATTAATGGCGAACAAAGAATACAGAATCAATGAAATCCAATCAATTACCCACAAGAGAGGAGAGTTCTAGGTTATCTACTGATCTTTTTTTTAAAGGACTCAAGGCTGCGACATGCTCTTAAGTTGTTCGGTAGTAAATTTCACAATCTCACAGCTCTGATCGGAAAAGACTTAGACATAAAGTTATTTGAGAGAATCGGAATTCTCAAGAGAAATGAACCTATTTTTCAATCGACCATTAGGTTGAGTTTTGGAAAAAAATTACAAAAAAGAAGACTAGAATGTTTGCATTTAACGATTTTGAAGCATTCAATTAAATCCGTGACCGGGCGACGATGCCTAATAGTTTTAAGCTCGAAAAGATTGAGTCTATCCATGTAAACCATGTTTGCAAATCTAGGAAAGTCAATTTTTCAAAAGGCCATGTTAGTGAATCTTTGTTGGATTTTTTTCCAAGCGCAAAATATCCACTTGAGTATGTGGGGACCAGACTGTAGATGTATATTCTAGGATAGGTCTTAAGAAAGAGATAAAGCATCTACGGTAAGTTTCAATTCTAGGAAAGCAAATCGTCTTAAGGATACGGCTTCTAGCAAAAGATTCCTTGCGGCTTGCAAAAGATATGTTAGAATTTAGATCAACTCTCCGAAACGTGTTAACGTTAATGGGAGCGGAAAGAAGTCGACCACCACCGCCAAATAACATCTCTGATATTAATAGGTTACAAAATAGTTTCCACAGTATTAGACGTTACATGAATAAAATAATAATAACACTTTTTAGTGGTTTAACGCTACTCGAGTCTCGGCCAAGCGTTCCGTTACCGACGGTGCTTCTTTTTGCAAGCAGGTTAGCTTCAAGGGCTAAATGTGATAGTAAACTTATTGATTCGATTTGAATAAGTATTGAATTGAATTGAAAAAATAGAAATGAAAAAAGAAAAAATGGAAAAAGTTACATTAATACTACATATCTTTCACTCATGTAAACTATGCGACAGCCCAAATTGGCTAGCAGTTAACCCCCAGTGTTTAGCCGAGAGTTAACTGCTGGCACCTGTAAAGGTAACATTTTAGTGATGACTTGGTCAATGATGCCGAGTCAAGTGCAAACAGTCTGAAGAATGATTTTGGATATGAGATTTTTGCCGGTAAGCTTGACTCTAAGCCAGGGTTTATTCAATGATTCCAGTGGGTGTCGGTGCTGAACTCAATTTTGGAACAATTCCATCAAATCCTTCAAATGTTTTCACAATGGATTCTCATTTGGATCCAAGCACTTATCCCGATTTAGCTAAAACAATTACAAAGGCTATGATTTCGTGTATTGATGTGACGGCTACGACAAGTGCCACAACAATGATGGCTGAGACCATCACAACAACACCTCAACCGACTATTAGGTAAAATACATTGCTGGACCTAATTTTACGACTACTCCATTTTTCAGCAACTTTTGAAGCAAAATGACATTCCTTCAAAAATCATTTTTAAATTGAAATTTTAATTATATTAGATGTAAGAAGAAAGGAGAAAACCTGAGCATCAAGTTCAGATTTTGAAAAAAAAGACATTAAAAAATCGCTTCGGCAAGTGGTCATAATTTTAGGATCAGTTGAGAGATTAACTAAAAATAGCAAAACAAGTGAACTAAACTTTCAAAATAACAAACCAATAAACAATCGGGCCTCCCGAACGCTGAATTACTTGAAAAACTCTGTTGTCGCTGTCGCTGCTGGTTTCGGCGTCAAAATGTAAGAAGTAGTCGACGGAGCACAAATTGATACTGGATTGATTTCATTTTTTCGGGACGAATACCAGTTTGAACCGTCCGCTTGCAGGAAAAACCGCCCAAACCATCAATTGACCATTGACCAAACCAAACCTCCATTGAAATTTCGGCGCGAAAAATAAAGTTTATCCTTTTTCTCAAATCGTGCCAGTAATGTCGATTGCCGTCTAGTCCATTGCAATTGAATTTCTTTTCATCTGACCACACAATCTAAAACAAAAAAGGGAGTTTAAATCAAACAAGGAAACACACTTACCAAGCTCCAATCGATTCGTTGATTTTTCCCTTGTGCATTGTGATGAATGGGGCACGTCTCATACATCTCCGAAGGATGAATTTGCTCTTCTTGATCACCCTTCAAATCCTTCTTGCCGACACATTCAGATTGAGAATAGGCTTGATTTGAGGAGAAGTTAATGTCAAATTTGAGGCTTCTCGAACGATTAGTCGTTGTTTCCGCTTTGTAGTGCCCGGCTTTCGTCTCGGATGTTTCATCCTGCCATAACCGGTTGGATCGTTGAGATAGGTACTATTCAACTGGTGTTAACGGTCGATTTTCCTGGCAACTTCTCGATAGTTGTCTCCAGTTTGATTCATCGCTTCGATAATCCTCTTTTCTTTATCGAAAAGTTGCTTCCTTTCGCCATCACTAAAATTGCGAAGATTTTTTTTGAAAACAGCATAGAAAATCATGAAAAATACAAAAGAAAGTAAAATTTCTCAACTGGTCGTAAAATTATGACCACTCGCCGGAAGTGATTTTCCAATCAACGTTTTTTTAAAATTTGAACTTCATGTTCAGGGTTTTCTCCTATCTTCTTACATCAATTATAATTATGAATACTATTTAAAATATGATTTTTGATGGGATGTCATTTTTCTTAAATAGTTGATCAAAAATGGAGTAGTCGCAAAATTATCTCCAGCAGTGTATTATAAATGCTGATGCTAGAGCAAGTAATTTAAGGCAGTCTAGGTCAAGTGTAAAACAAAATATCTATGAGAGAACTTCATCTTTAGCTATTCTTCATCGGAAGGCTCAACAGCTAAGAATACAGGAACAGTAACACCATCAACAAGTGCAGAAACGACAACAATTACCGTAACCACTTCACCGACCACCACAACTCCAATCCAACGAAGTATAGCCATCGTTTGGGATGTGTCGTTTAATGGAGGGAATAACAGAACGGAAGAGGTGAATATCAATTGAAGTCAGTATTAAACTCAATCAATCACCTCTTTTCAGGCAATTTTCACTTTTGTGAACGCGTTCTTGTTGAGGAATTCTTGGTGGACCGGGTTGTCTTATTCCGTTATTCCATTCCCCGATCCACTTCAATATACACCACAAAATATTGACACTAAATTTAAGTGAGTTTGAAAAGAAAAATTTACAATATCTTAGTAAAGACTTTATTTGAATCAATTATCCTTTAGATCGTCAGCTCGTGATGTGGCAAGCTTGATGAGTCGAGAAAGGGGAGCACCTCCAACACCGAATAATGTATCCGATATTAATAGGTAATTTGAACTTTGAACAAGAACTATCCAATCTTTATGCTTTATATTCATTTAGTGCTCTTGTCCTTCTCGAATACCAGCCAACCGTCATTCGACCCACGATTTTACTCTTCTCAAGCAGTGATTCCCTAGTTTCGGATGCTCAATCAACAGCTGCAATTTTGAGAAATACATATGGATATGACATATTTGCAGGTTGAATTTTTTAAGTAACTACCATACTCTGCTTTTAGTCGGAGTCGGCTCTCAACTCGATTTTGGATCAATTCCCTCAAGTCCCTCAAATGTTTTCACAATGGATTCCCATTTGGATCCAAATACTTATCCATCCTTGGTCGACCAGATAACTGATGCGATGAATCGAGTGGATACAACCACAACCACAGTGACAACACCCACGCCTACAACTGCTTGTCCACCTGGTATTTTCTGATCATTTTCCATTATGCATAGCTATTCAGGAACTCCAATCCAGCGAAGCGTGGCTATTGTTTGGGATGTTTCTTTCAATGGAAATAACAATCGAACTGAAGAGGTTATCTTACATTCAAAGATAATCTTGAGTACAATAAAACCAACTCTATGTTCGATCATCACTTAATTCCAGGCCATTTTCACCTTTATCAACTCCTTCCTTTTACGGTCAAACCCTGAATGGACAAATGTCGTTTTCTCTGTCATTCCATTCCCCGATCCTCTCGCATACACCCCAACAAATATCGACTATTTATTCAAGTGAGTGATTTAAGAATTAATCTAAACCGTATAAATCAACAAATTGAGATCAACTCTCCGAAACGTGTTAACGTTAATGGGAACGGAAAGGAGTCGACCACCACCGCCAAATAACATCTCTGACATTAATAGGCAAGCTTTATATACGACTTGGTAATCATTAGTGAAAGTGAATGATATGTATTACAGCAGTAAGACTCACACGCTGTGCATATGCTATCAGGATAGGATCTGGAAATATTTAGTGGTCTCACTCTACTCGAATATCAGCCGAGCGTCGTGTTGCCGACTGTACTCCTTTTTGCGAGCAGGTTTGTTCCAATCAATTAAGAAAATCTAATGTTAGGGTCAAAAGGCACAAATAGGGTTACATTAATACTACATATCTTTCACTCATTTAAACTACGCGCCAGCCCAAATTGGCTAACAGTTAACCCCCGGTGTTTAAGCCGAGAGTTAACTGCTGGCACCTGTAAAGGTAACATTTTAGTGACGACTTGGTCAATGATGCCGAGTCAAGTGCAAACAGTCTGAAGAATGATTTTGGATATGAGATTTTTGCCGGTAAGCTTGAGTTTTAGCCACGGTTTATTCAATTATTCCAGTGGGTGTCGGTGCTGAACTCAATTTTGGATCAATTCCATCAAATCCTTCAAATGTTTTCACAATGGATTCCCATTTGGATCCAAGCACTTATCCCGATTTAGCTAAAACAATTACAAAGGCTATGATTTCGTGTATCGATGTGACAGCTACGACAAGTGTCACAACAATGATGACTGAGGGAATCACAACAACACCTCAACCGACAGGGTAAAATATTATAAATGCTAATGCTAGAGCAAGTAATTTAACGCAGTCGAGGTCAAGCCTATATCTATGAGAGAACTTCATCTTTAGCTATTCTTCATCGGAAGGCTCAACAGCTGAGAATACAGCTACCGTAACCTCGTCAGCAAGCGAAGGAACGACAACAACGGTAATTACCGTAAACACTTCACCGACCACCACAACCCCAATCCAACGAAGTATAGCCATCGTTTGGGATGTGTCGTTTAATGGAGGGAATAACAGAACGGAAGAGGTGAAGATAATCTAAAAAGTATAGAAATGATCTGAAATAGAGAATGAACCTAACCAATCACCTCTTTTCAGGCAATTTTTACTTTTGTGAACGCGTTCCTGTTGAGGAATTCTTGGTGGACCGGATTGTCTTATTCGGTTATTCCATTCCCCGATACACTCAAATACCAATCACAAAATTATGATACTCAATTTAAGTGAGTTTGAAAAGAAAAAGTTACACTATCCTAGTAAAGCCTTTATTTGGCTCTACTAAATTTCGGAAATTTCGTTTCGGGAAACGTTCTTTTCGGAAAAAATTCATTTAGAAAATGATTTCTAGCATTAATGGTAGCACGAGTTACTACAATAGCTTGCAACTTTAAGGCAAGGTTACGTCTGGAGTGGTCGGGTTGAGACTAGGAGTTCGTTGCACGATCAACAGATCTCATTGTTTCGAGCCGAGTTAAGCATTTGAAAACATCGCTAAGTGGAATTTTTTTTGCGTTCCACCGAGGTCGTCCAAAGGGAATGACTAAAAGATCTTTATATTGTCCGTTAAGGCTAGACTTACATTAATTGTCCGATTGGTCGTTTCGTGTGAGTTATTAAAGAATGGTTGTTCTTTGTCGAGGAGAGTGGCAACCTCCCATGTCGTGATAGGGTATCGCGCATTCATTGGGTGTCTCAATATAGTTTAAGCAAAACGTATTTCATAAAAGCTAAAAACGAACTGAATTTTAAAAAAGAAACAAAAAGCAAACCAACTAACGTTTGGTCGTTCTTGTGTAAAACTAATAAATCGATAGCCTTTGTAATGAATCTTCCGTCGATAAAGGGCGGCATACAGAGTCTAGGACACATAAATAAATTATAACAATATGATCTTACCTTCTCGACAAGTTCCGTGCGTCCTATTCTTGAAACACGTATCATTTTGGTCAAAGTGCACTTAGTTTTCCCATTTCTAAGATCTAGAAGACATAAAAACATACAGTCAGCGGGAGTGGGACAAATGCGACCTTTTTTTTGCGCATCCGGACATTTGCGCACCTTTTTTCCGCACCTTGCCCATTAGCGCGCCTTTTTCGCGTTTTAAAAAAGCTCTAAAAAGCTAATATTAACCAATTTCTATTCCAAAAGTTGTTTTTCTAGGTAATTTTAGGGCGTAGAATCGAAATTTTGACATATCAGAGCTCGTGGAAACAAACGGACGGAGTTATACAAAGAGAAAAATCGACAATTTTCTGTAATTTGATCTAGCCGTTTTGTCTTTCAAATTGGTTCCACACGCTCTGTTATGTCAAAATTTGAATTCGACACCCTCAAATTACCTAGAAAAACAACTTTTGGAATAGAAATTGGTTAATATTAGCTTTTTAGAGCTTTTTTTAAAACGCGAAAAAAGGTGCGCTAATGGGCAAGGTGCGGAAATGTCCGCACCTTGCCAAAAGGTGCGCAAATGTCCGGGTGCGCAAAAAAAAAGGTCGCATTTGTCCCACTCCCCAGTCAGCAAAAAAAAGGTCTTGCACCATTTTCTCCCAAAGGCTTAAAACAACAAACCGTTTATTTTTTTCGCAAAAATCAGCGTTTCAGAGAAAACTTCTTGGCAACCAATTCTACCATTGTGGTCTAATATATTATTCATTTTTTTCCGAATATATTATTCATTTTTATTGCAAGTTATTTCTTTTGACGTAAAAAATAAGTTTTATTAGAGACACCCGGTTTAGAGCGCAAAAAAAGTCTTGCACCATCGTTGTATTCTGTTGTAAACTTTTTCTTTTCTGATTTTGTTTTTTGTGCATTAATTTATCTTTTTAGATGCCCTGCGAGCGATATCTGGTCACTCCGACCAAGGAAAACATTGTCAAAGCCCGTCAAGGAGTGATGAAAGTGAAGGTCATTTGTGATCTCTTTATCGTTGATCGCTCCACCGTCTCCAGGCTTTGTAAACGACAAAAACTAGGGGGAAATGTGCAACGACATTCAAAAAGTGGTCGACCACCTAAAACAATCATCAGACAGGACCGTTCTTTGATCGGGATGTTCTTAAAGGATCCAAACAGGACGAGTACTGACGGTGCCAAGTTGCTTCAATCTTGCTTTGGGCTTGATGTAACCGCTCAAACAATTCGAAACCGGCTCAAATCGGTTCGATTGTTTGCTCGACGACCAGCACGAAAGCCTCTAATGGTTTTGAGACATCGACGATTGAGATTGGCCTTCGCAAAGACGAACAAAAATTGGACGATCGACGATTGGAAGAAGGTATTCTATAGTGACGAGACGAAGATCAATATATTCAATCCGAATGGTGGTCAAATGATTCGTCGACCTGTTGGAACACGCTATAAACTCAAGTATATGCGTCCTACAGTCAAATTCAGTGGTGGAGGAACCATGGTTTGGGGTTAGTAAATGTTTTTTAGATTGTGCCTAATTCTGTCTATATTTAGGTTGCATGTCATCGTCCGACGTTGGTCCGCTAGTCTTGATAGACGGAATTATGGATGCTCACAAGTACAAGAACATATTGGAGACACAAGAAAATCCTCCTTTCCCCCGTGTAGAGAATACTCGATCGCATTGTTTCAGCTGTCGGCGAAATCCAACATTTGTTGTTTCGTCGTCCTGAATAAAAACCATTAAATAAAACCAAAAATCGATGAAATAAGTTAAGAAACAACAACAAAATTACATTTTCAGGTTGAATTCGTGATCAAAATCGTATTTCCTAATCTTGATAAGATCTTGTTGCTATTACCTTTACCAGATTTGTATATTTCAGCATGCCAACGAGTTTTTTAATAAAAAGACGAAAAAAATTTGAAATGGACGGAAAATGTAAAGAAAACCACGCAAAAAAAAGCGGCGTACAACCCGGACATAAACACTCTCGAATTCCCGAAATGAAGGTTTCACGAAATGAAAATTCCCGAAACGAAGGTTCCCCGAAACGAAATTCCCAAAATTTAGTAAAGACTTTATTTGAATCAATCGTCCTTTAGATCCTCAGCTCGTGATGTGGCAAGCTTGATGAGTCGAGAAAGGGGAGCACCTCCATCACCGAATAATGTATCCGATATTAATAGGTAATTTGAATTTTGAACAAGAACTATCCAATCTTTATTCTCTCTACTCATTTAGTGCTCTTGTCCTTCTCGAATATCAACCAACCGTCATTCGACCCACGATTTTACTCTTCTCAAGCAGTGATTCCCTAGTTTCGGATGCTCAATCAACAGCTGCAATTTTGAGAAATACATATGGATATGATATATTTGCAGGTTGAATTTTTTAAGTAACTACCATACTCTGTTTTTAGTCGGAGTCGGCTCTCAACTCGATTTTGGATCAATTCCCTCAAGTCCCACAAATGTTTTCACAATGGATTCCCATTTGGATCCAAATACTTATCCATCCTTGGTCGACCAGATAACTGATGCGATGAATCGAGTGGATACAACCACAACAACAGTGACAACACCCACGCCTACAACTGCTTGTCCACCGGGTATTTTGTGACCACTTTCCATTATGCATAGCTATTCAGGAACTCCAATCCAGCGAAGTGTGGCTATTGTTTGGGATGTTTCTTTCAATGGAAATAACAATCGAACCGAAGAGGTTTGCTTTTTTAAAATAATCGAAATTTTTGAGTACAATCAGGCTAGCTCTATGTTCGATCATCACTTAATTCCAGGCCATTTTCACCTTTATCAACTCATTCCTTTTACGGTCAAACCCTGAATGGACAAATGTCGTTTTCTCTGTCATTCCATTCCCCGATCCTCTTGCCTATACACCAGCAAATATTGACTATTTATTCAAGTGAGTGGTTTAAGAATTAATCTAAACCGTGTCAATCAACAAATTGAGATCAACTCTCCGAAAAGTGTTAACGTTAATGGGAGCGGAAAGAAGTCGACCACCACCGCCAAATAACATCTCTGATATTAATAGGCGAGTTTTATATACGACTTGGTAATCATTGGTGAAAGTGAATGATATGTAGACCATGTATTATAGCAGTAAGACTTACACGCTGTGCATATGCTATCAGGATAGGATCTGGAAATATTTAGTGGTCTCACTCTACTCGAATATCAGCCGAGCGTCGTGTTGCCGACTGTACTCCTTTTTGCGAGCAGGTTTGTTCCAACTTATAAAAAAGATCTAATGTTAGGGTCAAAAAGCGCAAATAGAGTTTGTTTCCAGTAAGGAAGATTATTGGTACATTTTAAATTTCAAGCAATTGCAAGCTTTTTCGTTTTTAGCGATGACTTGGTTGTTGATGCCGAGGAAAGAGCAAAAATTCTGAAAAACGATTTCGGATATGAGATTTTTGCTGGTGAAATAACTCTTTATTGTTTAATTATCAATCATTCCAGTTGGTGTCGGTGCTGAACTCAATTTTGGATCAATTCCATCAAATCCTTCAAATGTTTTCACAATGGATTCCCATTTGGATCCAAGCACTTATCCCGATTTAGCTAAAAGAATTACAAAGGCTATGATTTCGTGTATCGATGTGACAGCTACGACAAGTGTCACAACAACGATAGCTGAGACAATCACAACAACACCTCAACCGACTACAAGGTAGGATAAAGGTTGCCATTTTCTGTCAACTCTTTCTGTAGATGCCCACCCGGTTCGCCGATAAAACGAAATGTGGCCATCGTTTGGGATACTTCAATTCAATATGGAAGTGATCAATATAATCAAGTATCAAAATCGAAATCATCATTCACAACGCAAATATTCAGGCAGCTTTCCTCTTTGTCGCCTCTTCACTCGTGAATCGAGCCGAGTGGTCGACTGTTTCTTTCTCGGTGATTCCATTCCCCGATCCAACTAAGTACACCCCTTCATATATTGATTTCAAATATCAGTAAGTTTTTTAAAGCTTTAAACTTTAAAAAAAGACTAAGATCTGAAATTCTTTTCTAGATCTTCTTGGTCAGATGTGAGACGAAAGATGACGCTCGAGAGGAATTCGGCGCCATCCCCAAATAACAAATCGGACATATTGAGGTGAGTTGCGACTAGGAATGTTTCAACTAGGCTTGTAGGCGGAAAAAAAAGCGGAAAATTGAATATCTTTTAATTTTCAAAGAATGGGCAGCTACGTTTTTCCGCTTTTTTCCGTCGCGTAGCTGCCCCATTTGTTGGGTTTTGCTTTGAAAGTCAAAAGATATTCAATTTTCCGCTTTTTTTTCCACTTACAACCGTTCCAACCGAAGCTTATGGTATGTAAGTATTCATATCTAGAATATGTAAGTACAGTCGACTCTCTCTATAACGGAATGGAAAGGACCAAAAATCTTTTTCGTTATATAGAAAGCCGTTTTATATAGCTTAGCGTCAGCCGGGACCAAAATTCCATTGCGTTATATAGAGTTTTCGGCTATATAAAGTTCTGTTATAGAGAGAGCCGACTGTGTTTGCAAAATTTAGACCTAAATATCTAATCATAACTAAATAAACAAAAAGAAAGCCGCTAATTTTTAAGGAATTCTGTATAGCCAAAACTTTTAAGTCTATAGAATCTAAGGCACAGTTTCTTTGACCGGAAAATTGTCTGATTTGGTTTGATCCGCTTCCGCTTCAAGACAAAATAGAGTATTCTTATCTGGACTGCCCTGGACCAGTTCACATAAGAATAGAGCCGGTAAGAACCAGGACTGGCAGACTAGCTTCCGGCGAGCAAGATCGGCCCAGGCCAGAAACCAGGCTTTCCTGTGGCCTTTCCTGGCTCTAGTTGTGAAATAAGAAATTTGATATTTAATCTATTGAGCCTATTGTTTCTAGCGCTCTTACCCTTTTGGATTATCCACCAAGCGCTCCATCATCGATTTTGTTGCTTGCGACCACGTGAGTTCATTGAAAAATTTCTATGCTTGAAGAGGACCTTTGAAAAGGTTGATGCTCTGATTATAAGACTACTCGAATTGAAAGCAAAAAGTTTAGTGACACCTTTATCCCGGATGCTGAAGGAATGGCAGCTAAATTGAAGGATACTTACGGTTATGAGATATTCTGCGGTCGGTTTTTATTCTTTTAAATTTCGATTCTTTCAGATTCTTCAAAAACCTTGAGAATTTTCAGTTGGAATCGGTTTTCCATTGAATTTTGGCTCAATCCCATCAAACCCTTCAAATGTCTACTCGATCGATGAAAGTCTTCACCCAGAAACCTATCCTCCGCTATCACAAAAGATCACTGAAGATATGACCGATTGCTCGATTATATCAACAATTCCATCAACGACCACTAGTACGACAAATGAAGAAACAACTGCTACGTATTCTCAATCTGAAGTTTCAACAACTGAGACAACAACAAGAGCAATGCTCACAACGACAACGCAATGCAGAGGATTCTATGTGGTTGATGCGGATTTGATCGTACTCTATGAACAAGCGGATCCTGTAGATCAATCAAATGTCAATTTTTTTAACTCAATATTCTAATACTCAATACTCCAAAGTACGAAAATCTTAATTTCAGGAAATTCTCAATCTTTTGGCAACAACTGGTGGCTTGGGATTGTTCAATTTTGATGGAAGTCCATACAGATTCGGTCAACAGACGAGGATCCGTGGGGTGAGTGCAATGGAAAAGCTTTGGAGTCAAAGATTTCATTGGATTTGGATGAATCCAACGAAAACTGCCCATTATTGAATTATTGATTTCATTTTGACGAAAATCAAGCTCATAAGAGCGGGTTGCATTATGTTTGTATAAGATTTTGGAGCTTTTTCAGCTCTCCTATCCATCACTAAATCCCACCGGAAGCTCGCTTCGACAAAACCCAACTTTCATCGAGTTCTCGTCGGAGCTTTTGAGCAATAACGCTTCGAATTGGATGCCCAATCCAGGATATCCTGATCTGAGCGAGTAAGTACATAAGAGTATCTTCTTTTTGACTTAATTCCTTCTCTTTCTTCCTTTCACTCCCCCCTTCGTATTCCCTCTTTCTTCCCCAGGAAGTAGATACCGGATAGCAGAGTGGTTAGAGCATCTGCCCGGGAAGCAAGGTTGGATCGGGCAAGTCCAAGGGTTCAACCCCCTCTACGGCTCTCAGTCCCATTTTGCCATTCCATTACTTTATTAAAGGTACTATAAAAACAATCGATTTCAGAGCAATCACCGCCTCATTCGACTTCTTCGATCTAACCCGGCAGAATCGAGTCCTGCTCATTGTCGGGAAAAAGTTGGTTTTACCAAAAAAGCCAAGAAATCAAATTTTTAAGCGATTCTACTGTTAATTCGGCTATCGATTCGGCAAATTCCCTAAAAAATTCCGGTGTCTTTGTGGTCACCATTTCAGTCGATGAAGCCATTGGATTAGCCGCTTTGTCCTCTATTGGAGCCGCTTTCGATATCCCTGACATTTTGACACCGGCAATTGTTGCTCAAAATATTGGAAACCTTTTGGGTAAAAGAACCTTTCTGTGTCTCCCAATCTTGCTTTGATTTTAGTGGCCAAATTCCCGACGTGTGTCCAACCGACGACAACTACAGCTCCAACAACAAGGCGAGTATTGTAAAGGCTTGAATTTTGATCAGAAAATTAATTTTCCTTCAACTTTACGGCGCTTTTGAATTTTAGTGTGATGTGTTTACCATTTTAGATAAAAAATGATAAATAGCCAAAGCTTCAAGACTGAAATGGCTCTGGTTTAGTGCATTAGTGCCAACCACAACCACCACTCAGCCCATCATATCCACCACAAAATGCCCACCAAACACCCCGGTGAGCAGAAATGTGGCCATCGTTTGGGAGCTCTCGGCAAGCAATGGAGACTATGGATATTCTCAGGTTTGGTAGCTGTAAAGAAATTGAATTCGCCTCTCGATACTCCGCACTCAAAACACGTTATTTCTTCTTTTAAGATATCCGATCTCACCTGATTTTCAATATCTTAAACTAAAAAATACACTCTTAACTCAAATAGCTCGGAATTTTGAGCTCTCACTTTAGCAATTTTCACACCAATCGACAATAGAAATAAAAGAGAACGACAAGCAGAAAACAATCCAAACACGGACGTAAAAAAACAACTTTCACACAAAAAATAAAAAAAGAATCAGCCAAATGAATAACAATTTCTTTATAAAGTCTTTAAACACAAGATACTCAGCTAACGAGCTGCAAACCAAGAATGAAATAGAATGAAAACGCGCGGATTTCCTTAATAATTTTCAATTTTCAGACTACAAGAATTAGGCAAATTTTTTAGTGTCTAAAAAAGATTTTCCGATTTGTAGAATGTAGAATGTTGTATGTAGGAATGTCTAAAGGAAGTCGGTTTATCGATAATTTTATTAGGTACAGATGAAATCATCTTTACAAGTCAGTTCCAATCTTATCTTATTAAAAAAAATTCCTGTGAGCTTTCGTTTCCGGATTACCTACATCTCACTAAATCGAGGATGGAGATTCATAATCTGAAATGTAAATCTGCCAAATAGGGTTGCCAAATGCGTGAAAAATGAATTGAAATTTCGAAGATAAGGATTAAAGGGTTTTCAATCACTGGGAATGGGCGCAGGTATGGCCTAGTGGATAGTCGGTTATTCGCTCGTTAGTCGGAGGGACCGGAGTTCAGTCCTGCTCTTCGTTTTTGATCATTATTTCTTTAAATGTAATACTTTACATTATAAATATTCAATATAACAAAGAAAATGGTGAAATGTTAACATACAGGCATGTATATGAGGCATCCAAAACAATAAAAACTTTCAGCTCATTTTTGGTTTAACAGGATGTCGAATTTGGGGCCAAAAAGAAAGCCAAATTAAAGGCAAATTAAAGGCAAAATTGAACAAAAGATCGATTGAACACTAATCAAAACATATTTTAGCATATAGTCGACTTTGTCACACAATATCTTCTAGCACGAGCTGAGTGGACTGGGTAAATGAATCAAAAATTCACTGAGAATCCGTTTTCAGAGTGAAAATGTCGGTTCTGCCGTTCACTTTTAGTGAAGATTTCATTTTCGTTGATGACGCTTACAGGTTGTTTCAAAATTTTGAATGACGTTACAAAGCTAAGTTCATTTTTAAGTCTAATCCCTTCAAGTGTCTCAATTTATATGAGCCAAGAACTCGAGAAAAGTGAAGTCATTCAAAATACGTCTGATATTTCGAGGTTTGTTTTTTAAAATCAACATTTCTCATCGATCTATTTCTTATTTCTAGTGCTTTGGATCGTTTAAATAAACCACAACAATACACAAATCTTGCAGCGATTGTCTTTGCGATCAGGTTGAAGGCTAAAGATTCAATGATTTTAATTCAGATTTAGTGACATTGGTGTGAGTGCTTCGCAAAATATAGCAAACACTTTAAAGTCGACATATCGATATTCGATTATAACTGGTGAGTTTTGAGTAGAGTGTGTTCCTCGCGAGTAAATTTGCATATGAGTAATTTTTTACCTGAGTAATAGCTCGAGTGATTATCGAGTAATGCGTTTTTCTAAAAAGTGCGCCTGCGCGAAAAAAAATATAAAAGCTATTTTTTGCGCAGGCTTTTCAAAAAAAAAACATTTTTTACTTTGGAAGGGAATTTCCCACCAAATCCGTTAAACGGCTGAGTATCTTTAAAAAGTGTCGTATATAACGCGGGGCTCGTCATTTTTGGCTCGTCATTTTTTTGCAATAATTTTTGCTAAAAGTACGGTAATTTTTTCCCAATTGTGCTTTTTAAAAAACACGTTACTCGTGAGAAACACACTCTAGTTTTGAGTATAAAATAAAGCTTGATTGGACGACAAAATACTGAGAAAATCTTATTTTGCGCATTCTTAAAGTTAAAGGAAAATCACTGTAAATGATTGGTGAGGTGAATGACCGCGTAATCGCTCGCCATCTAGCAAAGCAGCTCGGTATAACCTCGGTAAACCACCTCAGTTCCCAAGGAGAAGGAACGGTGATCGACTGAAGCTTTTCGGCGTCACTATGCTCGATCCTTTGAAGGCAATTTTTGCCTTAATTCTGTCTGTATTTTGCAGCAATTTCCACAGTCCATCGCGTCATTCAAATCACAGTAAAATCATAGCAATCGCCACCAAAATCACCACTAAAAATCTCAAATTTCAGTCGGCGTCGGGAATGCGATCGATTTCGGCTCGATCCCCACCAATCCCGCATTCAATTTGACGATGAGTGACGATTTCTCAAGAGAGACTTTCCAAAAGCTATCCAATCAGATCACTTTCCTATTGACAGATTGCTAGAAGTTGTATCTTCTAATCTTTTATCTTAGAAATTCTAATCAATGATCTCATTTTTCTCCTTAAAGTGTATTTTTTTGGAGTTAAAATTTGAGTAAATGGGTTTAGTTTTATGTCGAATTTTGAAAATTCACAGATATTTTAATTCACAAATTCCAGATATCTTTTTTTCTGATTGAGGTTGAGGTTGAGCACAAACTAAACACAATTTGGTTCATTATCTTTAAAACATTTTGCCAGTTTATACGTGAAGAGTGTGCCCACGTACAGAGAGATGGAGTTCACCAAAGCAAACGCGATTGCCTATTTGATTGAAATATCTGCCGATATTTCAAGATGAATCCCAGATTTCCCAGCTAAAATCAACAAATTTCATTGCCTTGGTGAAGTTGGACAAAAAGCAGAGACAAACAAACTTGACAGCGGTTATTTTTGCGTGCAGGTAGGAGGATTGATTGATTTAACGATGCTGACGATACTGTAATCTTATACTGACTTTCTGTAGCTTAGGTACAGTTTCACAAATAGAGTATCTGATAGAATAGATCTTACTAACAAAAATTCACCTTTTACCTTTTGACAATTCTTTTATCACATTTTTTCACGTTTCCAGTGATTCCGGAGTGAAAAGTGACGACGATAGTTGCGACGTCAAAGTCGAAATGGCAATACACGATTCTAACGGATGATTAGGGATTGGTTTATCCTTGGGAAAGGAAGCAAATGATTCCGGAATTGCCTGGACCATTTAGTGCCTGATGATTTGACCAATGTGTACGTAATTAACCAATGCTTATTTAGTTGGTGTTGGCCGCCTCAACCCCTTCATCTCCCCCACTTACAATCTGGAGATGAAAACGACTTTTCGCACAAAAGTTTCACCACTTTAACCGACCAGATCACTGTTTTGGGATCTTGCTAGGCCTTGAATAAGCATTTTGGGAAGAGAATTTTATAAGAAACAAAACAAAGAACATTTTATAACTCGTATTTGAAAATCCTAGATTTCAAAGATCACTTATAGTTAGATTTTTGGATTCTTTTCGATGATTGGATCTTTTTCTTTCGATAATAGCGTCTCCAGGGGTACACCCAAAACGGTCGCATATTCTTCCATCAAATTTCTCTCGTTCTCTTTCATCATCGGGGTTTCAATGTGGCGCAGAGCTTCCTGAAAAAGATTAATTGATCGATTTAATATCAAATTTATTTTTTTATATGTTGTATATGATTTGGATTCAATAGATATTTACTTACGATTAGCCAAGGATAGCCAAGCAAGACCCAGGCTAGACAAGGCCATCACTTGGTGAAGCCAGGCTAGACAAGGCCATCACTTGATGAAGCCAGGCTAGACAAGGCCATCACTTGATGAAGCCAAAGAGTCAGACTAGACCAAGGCCTGGCTTCTGGCTTCTGGTCTTCTGGTCCAGAAAAATGTCTTTAAAACAATCTAATTCCTAATCCACATTATTGTTATTACCCAAAGTTCTCAAGCCACTAATCCAAAAGTAGTTTGAAGTTTAGGTTTCATTTTCAATTGTCCTCCTTTCCCATACCTGACTCAAGAACGTTCCCTTCTGTGAGTCTTCTCCTTTCCATTTTGCTTGTTCAACTGCCAGATCTTCCGGGATTCCAATCTAAAGAGTTGATAAAGAGATTTTTAAACTTTATCAACTCACATTTCGAAAGATTTCCCTCAAAAGTCCCTCCGTGTTGTGAATGATATCATGAAACCAGACACAAGGCATCAAAAATCTCTCCTCATTTTTCAAATATGTTCCATAGGGAGCAGCGTAAACAATAGCAGATCGTTTCTAAAAAGAAAGTGTTCTTTTAAATGATCCTAATCTATAGCCTAGATTTAGAATTGATCTACGGTAACTTGCTTAGTACTTTGAGCTCACAAATGCAAACACTTCCGGAGCTTTACCAGAGCTATCTTCCAGAGCTTTACAAGAAAGAGAAAGGTACATTAAGTTTTAAAAGCTGAAAACTTTAATAGTAGTACAATTTAGAAAGATTAAAATCGATGAATTCTGAGATTTCAATGCAATTATTTTCTATGTTTAACACCCTCGATCTTTCTTTTTGGAAATTGCCAAGGGGGGCCGTTTTCGAAAAACCCCTCCCCTACTTTTCCAGTTTGTAAAAAAAGAAAGTGCTCGCTCCAAACGGTTCCCTTTGGGGGGCCCAAGCCGCCCTTCTTTTTGCCCCCTTTTCCTTTCCCCGGAAACTTTGGTGGTCTCAGCTTTCGAAATACATAATCTTTTTTTTGATTTAAATAAAAAATAACAAACCAATGTATATTTTAAGATTTAACCTTATCCGTATCCGGCTTCAATCTTTGATAATGTTTCCCCTCCATTCCACTCAAAAATCCATAAATCCAATTGCAGAGTTGAGGAGAGGCCAAATAAATCGCTGTCAATAGGTCTCCGATTTCTTCTCTAGAAATCAATTTTATTTGAATTGATTTCTAGAGAAGAAATCGTATTGTTTTCAAAAAAAAGAAAACCTTTTCAAAATCCTCTCCACCGAGTCGATTCCATTTTTGCGGAAAGAGAAAAGATTTCGGAAATTCGGGATTTCGTCGGTAAACTCGACCAGACGGACTCCTACAGAGAATGGATTTTTTTGAAGCCTTCATCAATTTAAATATGCACCTGTACACTCTGTTTTGAGAATGAAAACTTGATCAACTGGGACGTCTTTCCGGAGAACGGTGATCACATGGGGTAACAGGGTTTTCACGTCCTAAATTTTACCTTTAGACGCTTTCGAGCACACTTTACGCTCAAACATTGAAACACACCCTTCCTAGTGGACTTCGTTTTCCATTATCTTTATTTAGCTAATTGAAAACAATGGAGAAGATCAGAAAGGCATCAGAAAGGCATCAGAAAGGGTGTGTTTCCGCGCTTTGAGCACAAATAAGATCAAGTTCACTGTATGGGATTAAATAAATAAATAAATGTATAAATAAAGGTATAAATAATTTAGTATCTAGATGCTAGAAATCAGTTCGAGCCACCTCACGAGTGAAATAACCCTCATCGAGACCGATGCTGAGATTTGGAATCGGATAGGGCTCGGCGGTGCAATGGGATTTCCCCTCACAGTGCAACATCTTCGCCAAGAGAGTGCTGCCACAGCTAAAATAATAACAATTGAAATGTTTACTAAAATGTGTCCACTTTCAAAAACTATGGCAGTTTTATTAGGTTGGAAAGCAATTTTCATTTTTCAGAATCTCTAAACTGAGCCACCAGATATCAAAACGCTTGACTTTGCTATCAAAACTATCATAACGCTTCAAAACGCTGACAAAACGCTTGACTTATGACTTTTTTTTATTTTTTTTTTAAAAGAAAAAAGGGGGGCCTGTCCCCTTTTTAACATCCCCCCCCCCCCCCCCCTTTTTTTTTTTTTTTTTTTTTTTTTCCCTTCCCCCTTTTTTTTTTCCCCCCCCCCCCCCCCCCCCCTCCCTCCCCCCCCCTTTTTTTCCCCCTTCCCCTTCCCTTTTTTTTTTTTCTTTTTTTTTTTGCAAACTGCAGTTCAGGTCGGTTATTTCACAGAGACTCCCCTCTAATACGTTGGAGGAGTTGAGTTGGGTTGTTAGAGATGGCAGGATATCAAAAGGAGCCATTCTCTTTAACTTAACTCAAATTCTAGTCTATATTCGTTTACTCCTAGGCACAAAAAGTAGGCATAATCATAAAAATTCACTTAAAATACTCCTTGAAATCTAGTATTTTTTCGTAAGCCTTGGGAGAAGTCTAGGAGTTGAGAAAAATGATTTTCGAAAAAGAAGTTAGACTACGACCCGGCTGTACGAAAGGGTGACGTTCTATTAGAGTTTACGGTACGCTATGTACCGTAATCTACCGTAATCTTGCTATAAAATTTGCTATAAAATTGCTTTGTCCTATATGCATGACTTTTTGCTATATTTCTAGCACAAACCGTGCCGTATTGGTGTAGTAGATCGTCTCAGGCTGAGGGTTTTTCGCCAATTCTCCAGCAAATCGCTCAAATTCTTTTCGACTCATTTCAGCCAATAGTAAAGCCTAAAATTCATATAGCATTTAAAGATTATAGATTTTTAAACTATTCTCTAGTTTTCAAAACTTACCTCATCGAATAATTGAACGTAGACAAACGGACTTCTTTGCGAATTATAATAAGTGACTGGCTTAGGCAAAAGAACGAAATAGGCAAAATCCTGAACGGTTTATATCTAATAGAAATCTTTGTTACGTTTTTATTTAATATTATTTCTTAAGTTTGCAAATTGAAAGTACCTTTGTCAATGAATACAATGTCCAGTAATTTCCCTCTAAAAGCTTCGTGTCAACAAATGAGTTGTGCACGGTCAGAAAGTCGATCTCCCGAGCGATCTCTTCAATGTCTCGTTTTCTAAAAAGTCGATAAATTAACTAAGTGATTTTTTAGCTTTTATACAAGTCTAATCGAGGTCTTGGTCTGAAGCGATCTATTGCAGCAATCTATTGCAGCAATCTATTGCAGCGATCAAAAACGCGACTGAATGTACTAGAATGTGAGCGTTTTTCGGGGGGTGGGACAAATGCGACATTTTTTTGCGCACCTGGACATTTGCGCACCTTTTTTTTGCTGGAAAAGGCCTTAGGAAAGGTCGTAAAGCTTCGAAATATTTCCATGTAAGGGAATCGTATGCGTAGATTCCGAATTTCGACAAATCGGACCTCGCTGACACGTCAAATTTGGGCTAAAAGGCAAAAACTGCGGAAAAGCGTTAAGTTGCGTAGTTTTTGTCTTTTAGCCCAAATTTGACGTGTCAGCGAGGTCTGATTTGTCGAAATTCGGAATCTACGCATACGATTCCCTTCTATGAATACATTTTTGAAGCTCTACGACCTTTCCTAAGGCCTTTTCCAGCAAAAAAAGGTGCGCAAATGTCCAGGTGCGCAAAAAAATGTCGCATTTGTCCCACCCCCGTTTTTCGTGAAAAATAGTGTTCTTTCAGTCGAATTCCTTAAACTTTTCAGCTTTTCAGCTTTTCAGTGATCTGTTGTTAAATTTTCAAAACTAACTGTCGATAAAGAATCGAAGAAAGTCGAGCTTTCCCCTCCGGAATCTCATCGATCTTTACGAGTCTTCGATAGAGATTTTGAAGGAATACAAAGAATTTGATGAAAAAGAAATACACAGTGAAGAGTTGTAATCGGAAAATCGCCTCGATTCGACCCATCTGAAAGAGTTTTTTTGACTTGTTGAAGAAATTGTAATCATTCTAATAATTCTTTCTTTTATATTGAGTAAGTCGACGTGGTCAAATGTTTTGGGAAGAAGACGGGTCAGCAAGGATGACAAGGGGAAAAGAAAGAGGAAGAGTGGAAAGGGGGAATCGATAGACACCCACATTGCATCATTGAGAAATTGCCGATGGCTTTTTATAGACAAAAAGCGGTAGAACAAAAAATAGGTTTTTAGAGTTTGTGTACGCCGATTTTTGGCTGTGCTTTGAGAAAAGTACGGATTACATTTGCTTATATTATATTTGCTTTTTCAACTTTTATTAACAAAAAAATTTTGGAATTATGCTATGACTAAAGCCTTGAAATGAAACTACTTTTTGGTACAGATATTTTCAGCTATTTGAAGAAAGTAAGCAAGATTTTTGCAAAGTTTTCATAAAAATGAGTCTTTTGAGATTTGAAATGTATCAAAACTTCTTGAAAAAAGCTATAAAAACTATAAAATTGGAAAATTTTTTATAGAAAATGATTAAATCTATAAAATTTGCTATAGAAAATGATCTAATCTATAAGATTTTATATGGAAAACGATCAAATTCTATAGAAAATGATCTAATCTATAAAATTTGATATAGAAAACGATCAAATCTATAAGATTTTATATGGAAAACGATCAAATTCTATAGAAAATGATCTAATCTATAAGATTTTATACGGAAAACGATCAAATCTCATAATAAATCGAGAAATTTCTAAAGAAATCCACTTGTTTACTTGTTTTCAATTGAAAATTGTGAGGAATCGGTCAAAAATTGGGTACTCAAGCCAAATAAACACACGCAAAAAGAGCAAAAAGGAAAACGCAACGAATCGATCGCTTTTACATGGAAATTTTCTTTTTTTTTTGCTGCTTTCACACCACAAAAAGCTTTTCCGTCAAATTCGATTTTTAGACATTTTCATTGTAGCTTTGCATAGTAAAATAGAGTCTTTAGACTTAAAAAGCACTCTTTCTGATGCACCAAAGTTTTCACTTTTCATCGATTCATCCCGAAAATTAAGAAATTGAGAAATTGAGCGCGCTCAAAAAAAGCGTACTTTTTTACGCTTTGAAATAGAAACGTTGTACATCTTGTAGATAGTGTACTTTGTGCTTAAAAAGTAGAAACAAACCCTTGCTAGCGTACACTTTTCTAGATCTAGATTTATCTAGAATTTTCAGCAGTAAAATCAATGTTGTTATTTGATTTGTTTGCGATTTTTTTCAAATTTTTTAAATCAACAAACTTTTTGTTCTTTTTTTTTGTGGATTTTCATGATGTCTTTCAAATTTTAAATGTCATTCTTTTCTTTAATCACTGAATAACTTTGCGAAAACTCTTTCCTTTCTTTATATCAATAAAATTTCATATATAGTTGATGCCATTCTTTGATTTCGATGTTTTACCCTCTTTTCCTCTTCACTTTTTTTCTTGGCAATGTCTTTTTTGCCGATTTTTTGATAAGAAGAACTTAAGAAAAAATACAAATAAGCAGTCTATGATTTTTTCTGTGAATTTTTGTCTTTTTCAACCACTTCAAAGTACTTAAAACTTCGGGAATTTCGTAATTCTAGCCAATTCACTATTTGTTGTTTCAATGAGTCACTCTCTTCTAGCTTTTTAAATCTTTTAACCAAAGGCAATCATTGGTGATTTTAAAAATCACATATTTTAACTCTCTAGATCCTATAAGCCAGTCCAGATCGAGCTAATTTATAGCCTAAATAGGCTAAAGTCCGACCAGAAGTCAGATCTTGACTTTGCTGTCACAAGACCCTAGGGCTTGTACGTCAGGTCAAGCCAAAGCTCGACTAGAAGCTAGGCCTAGTCAAGCCAGGCTAGAACCTCGTTTCAAACCTGGTCTTGCTTGTGTTCACTAAAAAATCTCATCAAAATAAGTCTGTCTTTGTCGTTAGCACTGGAAATTTTTGTATCAAACACAGACTTAAAAACAAGTCGATTAGCATAGCTTCACTTACCTTCATTTAAGCCAAGTCTAGAGCTGAGTTTTGCTCAGATACAAAAAGAGGAGTTCCTGGTCTTCCCCTATTTTTTCACCAATCTTTTTCCTTTTCCTTTTTCACAAAAAGTATCACTCTTTTCCCCTTTAGTCCAACCATTTCCTCTTTCCAAATGGGTCAGTTGTGTTATTTCTTTTTCATTTTTTCTCCTTTCGATGTTCCTCCAAAATAAATCACTTTGTGTTAGCCCTCAATTGTCTTTCCTTCTTTTATCAAATCTAGAAATGAAAGTGAAATGAGCAAATCTTATCTAAACTAGAGAACTTCCTTCGTTCCTGAAATCCTGGGACAAGTTTTTACAACAAGACAACAAGACGAGACTTTTATATCTGCACTGAGCTTTGCGTGGTTGCTAAATGTCTTGGTAAAAACTAACACTTTTAACGATCACAGTACACAGTTTTGATCTCATTTCCCTTGTAAAATAAGTGCCTTTTAGAATATTTATTTGGAAAATTGTACGTTGGAAACCACGACCGTTAGAAAAACTGTAGTGGTTTGTAGAATGTCTGTTCCAGAGTAAGCCAAAAGCCAAGTACTGCTTCTAATCTTGCGGCTTGGCTCATAAAAGTCCCTGAGCTTGTCAAAAACCAGGTTTAGATCTGATTTCGAGTCTAGCCTTACAGGCTAGTCTAGCCCTAGCCCTGAGTCCAGTTTTGGCTTCTGAGTTATGGCCTGCCTTTGCTTACAAGTCCTAGGATCCGATTAGAACATTCCTGTTCCAATAATTTAAGCTGACCTGACTTGCAGGCCTTAGATCCCGGGCAGATCTTATTTATCCAATTATCCAATTATCCAATAATTTAAGCTCTTTCATCAAACCTTTTTTCTTAAACTGGAAACGATTTGCTAAACTTGAACCCTAGGAAATTACCATCATTCACCTCTTTTCGCCGATTTTTTCATGGGGTCAATCCTTCTCTTCCCAGCACATGGACCCACTTAGCTGGCCTCTTCCCCGTCTTTTTTCTGACGTCATCACCCTTGCACAAAGTGTATTTTATTGAAAAAAAGTCTTTGTTCTTCTTCTGCTCAAAAAAATTAGATCCCATTTTAGCTTTACACTTCAAGATAAAGTCGATTTTTTTAAAAGTCTCTTCAAAAATCAAAAATCAACTTTGTGTCTGTTTTTGCGTGTAACCCAATCTGTTCCAAAATTTTTCAATTCCTGCTCACTTGTCAATAGAGAATTCTTCAATTTCCTCGAAACTTTTTACCTAAATTTCTGGAGCAAATTTTAATTAGATTTAAATAAATTTAAATAGATTTTAAGGTTTCGTAAAAGAAGCTCAAAATTCCATTTTGCATTTTCCTTTAAACTTTGAAGTCATTCTTGCTCAACTTCAGCAATATTTTTATATTCTAGAAACCCTTTTGACCTTTGTCAAAGCACAGATCAAGCTTTAGAAGCAATAAACTCAATGAGTCTAGTTTTTAAAGGGAAATTATCACTTGAAAAGATAATTTCCCCAATCATGAGAATTTCTGGTTCCATTCTTTTCCATTCAAACAAAACACTATTAGCTTTTGTTTCATTTCTGAACTTAAGCTAAACTTTATTGGATCAGAATAGGAACCGTATTGGAACCGTATTGGAAGCCCTTTGGATCAGAGTAGACAGAAAACTTTAGGATTTTGATAATAATATGTCATCCTTATGTTAACAATAAACATATTAGCTGGGCTAACAATAAGCAATCTAAAAGTCTCGAATAGTCCAGATAAAAGACCAATTTTTTTGGTAATTTCTGTAAAATTCTGTCCCACAATTTATGGGAAATAGCTGAATTGTACAAAAAGTCTTGTCATTTTTTTTTCAAATCTATAACAATTCCTGATCACCATTTTCCCCCCTCATTTTCCCTTTCGCCCTTCTTTTCAAATGACGATAGCCAGCTGGCCCAAACGCAAATCAATACACAAAGAGCTCCCCCTTTTTCTTCGCTTATCGATGATATTTCGATAGACGATCTTTTGGAAAAATCTTCCCCATTCGAAATGTTTCCCCATTCACAATTTCCTATTTTTCGTTTCCCCACGTCTTCGTCGATTTCCGTGCATTCAGCTCTCGCAATTCTTCTGTAAAATGTCGGTGACTGCTCCGAATTTCTATCGTCGTCCCCTTCCCCAATTGTGCGTTCCATTCGCCTCCGATGAGGGCAAGAAAATGTTCACTGAGGCTTTACTCGAGGGTGAGTTCAATTTGGTTTTAGCACCTTTTTCTAAATATTTTTCTTTTAATTCACATCAATTCAAAGATTCAAAGGATCAAAGCTATAGCAAATTCAAAGGAGCTACGTATTTCGAATCTATAAAGATTTCAGAAACCATTGAACACTTTAAACTAGTTATCGCACATTTGATACGCACCCCGCCCCTTTTTCCCATTAGTAATCTAACTTTGAGCTCAAATTTCTTCGTGTTGGGCTGTCCAATCTGAATAGTTTTTGTACCAATCGATAGAGAAAGATTTAGCGCAGATTTGAGCTCAAATTTCTTGCTGTTAGACTGTCCGATTTCAATAGTTTTTGTACCAATCAACAGAGAAAGACTTGGCACATCTAAAGATATCAATATTTTAGAAATTCAACAACCCAACACCAAGAAATTTGAGCTCAAAGTTAGATTACTAATGGGAAAAAGGGGCGGGGTGCGTATCAAATGTGCGATAACTAGTTTAAAGTGTTCAATGGTTTCTGAAATCTTTAAAGATTCGAAATACGTAGCTCAGAGACTAAAGGATTTATAATTAATCTATAGTCAATCTGTAGATGTATAATAGTTCTCTGAAAACTGAATTCAAAGAGTTAGCAGGGATCAAAGTCAAAATTTAAAGATGTCTATAAATTCAAAGAAAAAATTCAACGCATGCACAAGTTTTATTCAAGTTTTCGCCACTTTAGAATACATAATAAGCCTTTTAAATTTTAAAGTTCTAAAGTTGAACACGTCGGTCCTTTTCGCGCTTTTGGACAGAGCCGGGATTCGAATCCGCCACCTCTCGTTTACTAGGCGATCGCTCTATCAATGAGCTACACCGACAGAGCCGGGATTCGAATCCGTCACCTCTCGTTTACCAGGCGATCGCTCTATCAATGAGCTACACCGACACCTATCCTATTGACGCTAGGATAAAGCTTTATGCCTTACTTTGAGCTGGTCCTGAAAACTGGTCACTTTTTAGGCAATGCGAATATCTATTTCAAATTGGCTTGCCAGTTCACTACACAAGACGAACCAGCCTATTGTGGACCATCAAGTTTGGGTGAGTAATTCAGGGACTAGAAGAAAATTACCTCTAATAGCTTAAAGTCAAAATTCTCATAAATATCTATAATTTTTTTTTGTTGCAGTAATGTGCTTGAACGCATTAGAAGTTGACCCGGGTCGGGTTTGGAAAAGTCCTTGGCGTTTCTATCACGAGAGTATGCTTGATTGTTGTGTGCCGATGGAATCAATCAAAAAGTGAGAAATTTACAAATTTCTTTATAAAATATCGTACCTCAAAAACAGGATTTTCAGGGTTGGGCTGAATATTTTTCAAATGCGATGCCTGGCGAATTGCAATCGCTTGGAGTGCAAGTTGGAGATTGCCGAGGAGAGCGAGAGTGGGCTGGATATTAACTAATAATTTGAGAACTATAATATTAGATAATTTAGAACTATATCATAGTTTCATGTATTTATGATTCAAAGCTGAAATATCTTTTAGATATATCCTTTATTCTAGAATCGCAATTGTCCTTTCGAAAAGACGTGATCGAGAGTGTGCGAAGCGAGGTGCAAATCGTTGTCGTTGGCTACAACAGGAGTACTCTAGGACAATCGGGAACAGGTGTTAATCATGAAAATTTGCATAAAATTTACATATTCAGCTGTTTTCCTATAGAATAATACGTTTTCTAAAGTGTGTCAACTTTCAAAAGCTACGTAATCTTATCTATTGGGTTATCTAAAACTGCCAGACTTTGAACTAAAATTTATTTAACATAAAACCATCAATTCATTCCAAATAATTTCTATTATTTTTGACAACTTGTGCCCATTTTACAGGCAATTTGCGGATTCCTCTTTCGTAGTAGGATTTTGGTTTGTGTGTGAGACAAGTGTGAGACTCAAAAATCGAGGACTGGAGATGTCCAGTTTGGACCCAGTTTGAGCACTTTCTTCAAAAGAAACCCATTTTGTTGTCAATAGAAAAGTTGTAGAGAATCAAAAATTAGGCTTATAGCCAAATTTCCAAAAAGATACACTTAGTAGTTTCGCTTAAATCGAGTTTTGTGAAAATTCGTAAATTTCGCATTTCTTGAAAACCAGTTTTTGAATCGTTCCGAAAATTTGGATATAAGCTTGATTTTTGATTCTCTACAACTTTTCCACTGACACCAAAATGGGTTTCATTTGAAGAAAGTGCTCAAACTGTCACATATGACAATAGATTGAGATTAGCCTTGATTTGCGGAGAAGTCAATGTTCAATTTGAAGATTCGGAGCCGGCCATATTGGTTCGGCATAGGGAGAGGGAAGGGATTTATGTAAAAGCCATGCGCCAGACGACGAGTGATTACGCAGCCGCATAAAGAACACACATAACACACAAATTTTAAGCAGAACTATTAAGTGTATCTTTTTGGAAATTTGGATATAAGCTTGATTTTCGATTCTCTACAACTTTCCCATTGACACCAAAACGGGTTTCTTTTGAAGAAAGTGCTCAAACTGTCACATCTGACAATAGCCGACAGTTTTCAATTCACCAACCCAATAGTTATCCATTTATTATCGAGCTTAGCTATTTGATCATAAAGGATGTTAACTATGTAAAAAAGCTCAAAGAATAGATAAACTGAATAAAAAGAATAAGATTACGGTAGTTCTCATGAGTTGACACGTTTTAAAAAAACGCATCAGTCGAGAGGGATAAACTCTATTCGATGGTAAATCTGTCTTTGAAATTGGCAAGGCAAAGATTCATAACTCTTTACAAAGCATCTATTTGATAAAGCTTGGTCTTTTGTTTAGCGATCAGTGAAAGTAAGCCGTAATTCCAGGCCATTTCTCTCCACTCGGCGCTTATCACACCGCAACCGACAGCGTTCTCATTCTCGATGTCGCTCGTTTCAAATACCCGCCCCATTGGGTCCCACTCTCACTCCTGCATAAAGCCATGTGCACTCTAGACTCAAGTACATCGAAAAATCGAGGTAGAAAGCATATTCATTCGCTTTATTCATATTCATAGCCAAGTTTTTAGGTCATCTAGTGCTCTCCCTCCGCGCCGACACTCGACCGCTTGTCGTTTTCGGGTTGAGGACGACGATTGCTTGCAATGATGCTCATGTGGGTTTTTAAGTTTTAACTGCATATAATTAACTGCATATAATTATTGACGTTAAAGTTCTTGAAAGTTAAATTTCAGTTCGCTGAATCGGTGGTGAATTGGCGCGAGTTCCTTAGAGAGCCGCCGATGCCCGATCCAACTGACGAATGGGTGGTAAGTTGACTAAATTGTACAGATTATTCTATGAACTTATCGATTATCGATATCTAAGAATATATGGAAATACTTATCTATTATCTATATCCAAAATTATCCAGGTAGTTTGCCGCCGTTTCCTGCAATGTTTCTCGGGACACGCGTTGAGCTGCAAGGGAGTCGAGGTGTGCTGCAAGGTGGGTTTTAAATGTTAGCTTTATAGATTTATAGATTTATCTATGATTAAATAGTTGATTATGATTAAATCTATTCTTCGCATCAAATTCTAACTTTTTAAGCTTTCTAAGCAGAAGGTCGAGGTTTCAATTCCAAATTTTTTTACCATTCATTTGTTTACTTTATTTCTAATGCCGTGGTCTGATTTTCAAGTTCACGGTTCTGAAGAGATAGTGAAATGATGTGAGAAGACCTGAAGACCTGGGTATTTCCCTCTCTTTCTTCCTTGTCTTTCCTATTTCTTCTTTCCTAAAGCAGGCGCTGATAGCTCAGTAGAGCAGGTAGAGCATCTGCCTGGTAAGCAGTAGGTCGAGGCTTCACTTCCCTATGTTCTAAACTCTTTCCCATTCATGTTTTTACTTGATTTCAGAACGGAAACCAAGAGTCGGATGATATGGTTGAGTGCTCGTTGAAGATCTGCCGCGAAATTCGACAAACCACCGCTGCCCAACTCACGATGAGCAGTGCGGTGGCTGCGTTGATGATGGCATATCCGTATGAGGTACTGTGAATAGTTAACTATTGACTGAAAGAATTGGAATTGAATAATTAGGGAAGAGAGAGTCGAGATTTGAAGGTTGTTTGAGAAAAGATAACCACTAGGAAGCATTGAATGATTCTGAAGGCCGGTAGATCCAAGTCAGAAGCTAGGTCCTGGCTTGACCTAGTAATTTTCAGCCCGACTTCTCAACTCGTTCCGAGAATCTCCGCGAGTATTCGGAAGCGTGGATGAAAGGAGTCTCCGGGGATACACAAAATGAGATTCTCGTCTTGAGAGAGCAATTGACGACGATGATCGAGTGCACAAAGCCGCCGCTGAAAATTTTGGATCTTTAGAAATCAATTTAATTAATCAAAAGCATACTTTTTTTCTTATACTTTTCTATTCTTATAGCTATTCTATTCTTATAGCTTTAATTCTCATGGCTTTACTTATCCGTTTCACTGTGATGAAAGTCAAAAAAGTTGTGATTCTTTTTTGGTTCTTTTTGATTCATTTACCATATCTGATCCTGAGATTGAGTGTAATTTGAGAATTTTTGAATAAAGATGAATAAAGATGAATAAAGATAAAGATAAAGATAAAGATAAAGATAAAGATAAAGAATAAAGATGACTTTTAAATATAGAATTTACGGCACACCACTTTTTACCTTTTTACCCATCATAAAATGGGATCGAAGAAATGGAATCAAAAAAAAACTCGTCAAGAAATGAAAATCGAATTATGGAGATCGTTATCGAGTGTGAAATCTGCCATCTTATGAGATTTTAAAGCTAAAAAGAATTCCCCGAAGCACTCTTTTATTCGATCGGTCATTTTCCTGTTTGAGTTTTTTATAATAAAACTTGACTCTTGTCCATTATCCGGGGTTTTTGAATGAATCCGGATGTTCATTATCCATTTGAAGAACAGCCATTTGAAGGCTCATCACTTTGTTTAGAGATCTCAGCTTGTTAGCTTTTATGTTAGCTTGTTAGCTTTTATGCTGTTAGCTTTTCTGCTGTTAGCTTTTATGCCTTTAGCTTGTTAGCTTCTATGCTGTTAGCTTATATGATTTTAAAGAGGACATGCCAGACTTTCAAATTAGACAAAAACCTTTATCACATTATCAGGTAAAAAAAAAACCTAAAATGAATAGCGTCAATCGATTCACCGACCCCGAAAACCCTTGAGTACAAATTTACAGCTGAATATCTTCTTTTTGTATCATCTAAAACAAAAAAAACCCTGTGTAAGAGATGAGAAATTCCATTATTGCTCCTTTCTCAAAGAAGTCGATTTGGAGAATGGTGTTCACCGGGAAAATGAACATGAAAAGATTTGGGAAAAAGGGAAAAAGAGGAGAACTTTCTTCTTTCTTCTTTTCTTTCTTCTTTTCTTTCTTCTTTTCGTTTCCTTTGCACTCCTTTTCCCCTCAATTCCACAACAAATCATCCACGTCCTTAACCGTGCGTTCCCTTGAGGAAATTTGTGTTGAGTGCTGCTCTTTGCCTTGAGAATACAAATTCATTTCAGCAATCATAAATTTCTCGGAATTTGAATATTTGACTGTTTTGGGGTCCGTTTTGTTTAGATTAAAAATTCTCTTCGGATCACATCAAACATAAATATTTTCAAGAAAATCCACAAATTTTTACTATTGCCTTGAATTTTGTTGATTAGGCTAGAAGTCGGTAGCAGGAGTGTTTAAAATGGCAATTTCAATTTCCCGGGTCAGTTCAGACAAGATTAAGCACTCCAGGCCAGGATCAGACCAGCACAAAGCATACCAAACTAGACTAAACATGGGAAAATTCCAAGCCGAACCAAACTCTACCTTCGTTTTCTCGGCCGTTTCTTGGGGATTACTTTGAAATTTTGTCTACAAGCTGAAAATGTCGAAATGAATGAAAATTTCTATCTGTAGACAAAATTTCAGAGCAATCGGTTAAGAATCGACCAAGAAAACGAAGGTAGAATTAGGCTCGGTTTCGAATTTTCCCATGTGTAGACTAGACCAGGTCAGTCCAGAGCAAACTAGACCAAAACAGATCAGGACAAATTGGATCAGATCAGATTCAAGTGATATTTTAAGTTGGTTAATCGTTAACTTGTTAACTTGGAGCTGAGCCATGAGCTTAACCAGTTGTTCACACTCGTACTGGTAAGACACTGGTACTGGTAGCAGTACTGATAAAACATCGTTAGTTGCAAGTTTAGAGATTCCAATAGTAAGCGTAGTAGGAAATGTCTCATTTGTAACGTAAGTGAGACGTTTGCTTGAGAGTGAGAGTGAGACAATTCAGATCGAAACTTTCTTTTGAGGTCGTAAAGTTTAACTGGAGTTGGGCAAAGTTGACAAACGATAGTCGTAAAGTTGGCTCAACTTTACGAAGACTCAACTCAACTATGAACTTGCCTGAAATCTAAAAAATGATAAGCAAAAGTCAGATCAGATTCCATAACAGACTGTCTGCCGAATAAAAGTCCATCTCTCAGCACAACACTGGCCGCTTTCCAAAGAGAGTATCCTTGAGAGCTCTCTTTCCCCCACAATCCCCAAATGGGCAGGTAGAAGGGGGGAAAAGGGACAGAAAGAGAGTGGCATTGGTGTCTTTCCTTTGGTCAGAAATGGTGTTGTGAGGGGGGTTGGTCGACCTTGATGGGGCAAAAGGAAAACGGGCATCCATCGATTCTTCCCACCTTGCCCCCCTTCCTCACCTCTGCAATCCCCTCCATTCCCTTGGGGTACTCTTTCTCTTCTACCACCACCCACTCACAACACTTGTATGTAAATATTTTGTGCGCGGCCTCTTTATGACTCTGCTTTTCCCTCTTCTTCCCGTCTTCTTCCCGTCTTCTTCCCCTCTTCTTCCCATCGCTTGCCTTATCTCTGTACCTTTGTTGGAAGAAAATCTTCCAAAAGTACAGTTATTTAAGTTCATACGATTTATTCTTGTTCTTCAACTTGAGCAATTTATTTAGATACTCTTGAACTTCACAGTCTTTCTGTGCTTATTATGAATCTGCTTCTCAGCTTTTGATTCTTCTCACTTCTTGCCTTCTCTTCTACATTATATTTCCTCTTTCTTTGCCATTAAGGAGTTACCGGATAGCTCAATGGTTAGAGCATCGGAAAACAAAAAAGTCCAGGGTTGAAGGTTGAATCCCTCTCCGGCAATTTTACCATTCTTTACTTTATTATCTCTATACCTTACTATTAAACAGAAAGCTTTTTTAAGAAGTACAGTTTTTATTCTTGTATTATATCAGAAGGAATTCAAATTAATCCATATTTTTCTATTATTTTGCTATCGCAGGCTTCTCTGAGAATGGCTTAGGCTTAGGCTTAGGCTTAGGCTTAGACTTAGGCTTAGGCTTAGGCTTAGGCTTAGGCTTAGACTTAGGCTTAGGCTTAGACTTAGGCTTAGGCTTAGGCTTAGGCTTAGGCTTAGGCTTTCTGTTCAAATTCATTTTAGCAATCATAAATTTCTTGGAATTTGAATATTTGACTGTTTTGAAGTCCGTTTTGTTGCCTTTTTTTTACTTTTTTCAAGGGCTAAGTGCTGCTTTTTTCAGTTTAAACAAGAACTGTTATTGATTGATTATTTTTTGAATTTCGTTTCTTAATTCTTCAGGATTATGTGCTTCAATCTTTCTCTTTTCTCTGATCATCGACACCGGCATGATCCCTTTCACAGAGTCTCTCACCGGCTAGATTTCCTTTCTCACACTTCCGTTTTGTTTTTCGGTCTTTTTTTGAAAGGAAAATTATTCTAAATTTTTGTTTCTCACATCATTTCACTATCTCTTCGATTAATTGTAAGTTTTTTTTTTATGTGAAAGCGCATTTTTTATAGTCCAACCCATGTAAATCTTTCAAATGCTCAACTTTTTTGTCTCAGATTTACGAATATCCTCAATTACGAAGCGTTCCTCAAGCGAATAAATCGACCGGAAGCTTGGTTTCAATGAAAACAGATTTTTAGAAGAAAAAATCAAGAGTACAGCATGTGTCTTTAGGAAAATTTTCACCTTTAACAATACAGTAAACTGTTAAATGAGACTGTTTTGAGAAAATCGTCGTCCAGCTTCAATTCAAAGCTTCGAAAACTCGGGCTTTAAACACAGCTCCGGTTATCGGTTCGAATGAAATGGAATGGAAAGGATGGCCGGCCGGTTGTCTCTTTTCCCCTTCTTTCCTTCTCTATCAAAGCTTTCGATGTATTTGTTCTCGATCCGGTTACCCATCTTCTTTCTTTTCATCTTCATCTATTGCCTTCCTGGCCTCCCAAGAAGTCCCACAATCCACGAAGCTTCAAAATCCCATTCATTCTTATCTTTAGCACCTTAATCGTTGAAAACTCTAGTATATTTTTGGCTGACATCACTAGTTTCCTTTTGGCAAACTGAAAAATCGATTTTTGAAACCATAGCTCTATCTCTTGATCGCACAAACGCACACTCTCTGGCACACTCGAGTCCAGAGATTCTTAAGAGAAATAAGAGATCAGTGTGTCAGAAAGAGTGCCTTTACCGGAGCACAAAGGACTCGAGCAGTAGTTGTGCTCGAGCAGTTGGCCCTTTATTTTTGGCATCATTTTTCCAGAGATTTCTTGTCATGCTTATTTGAATAGCTTGTTAAAATAATCTTTCCCTGACATCATTGTCATCTCATTTCTCTTCATTGTTTTTTCTAAAGCAAAAAAAACTTTGTCGGAATATCAGGAACGAGTCCGGATTGATCACCGATGTTCCCCATTTCCCAATCCTCTTTCCTTGACAAAAATCCCACCCAAACACCCATCTCAACATTGTTGGCACATGACACCTGATGAGAGACTGTTAGATAAAAAAGACTGGGCTTTGTTCACGCGATTAAACCAGCTACCCCCCTCGTTTTCTTGGGAAATGTTTATTTTTTGTAAAAAGTATATCCGGGTACAGTACTTGAGAGTACAGTACAGTACGGGTGGAAAATCATCACTGTTTTAAAGATTTGGCTTTGGATTGATTGCCTTCGGATTGATTGCCTTAAAGTACTGTAGTTTTAAAGTTTTCTTAGTGACTTTTTCCGTTGAAACGCACCTTTTCTAGCCCAATGAACAAATCACCTTTATAGAGTTTTAAAAGTAACTTGAAGTCAAGATATTCTTTGCTAAGACAGGTAAGTCAAGAGATTCTTTCCAACATTCATCTCGCACTATTAGGCTTTAGGTGTTCCCCTAGTAATCCCCTAGTAATTTTCTGCTTAGTTTCCACACTTTCCTCCACATATTCCATAAAAAAAGTGAATTTTTATAGAGTGCGTGTCTGTATTGGATCTTGGCATTCATCAGTCACCACTCAC